ACATCGACAATGTCTCACCCTCCCCTCCTGAACACCCACATCGACAATGTCTCACCCTCCCCTCCTAAACACCCACATCGACAATGTCTCACCCTCCCCTCCTGAACACCCACATCGACAAGGTAAAAGGTACTCACAAACAACTTTGCCGGCGCATAATCATAAGCCCACCGCATGAGCGGTATAAAGTCCAAAACGCCGAAAAACCTCTTCCAAGTGCTCCATTCTAGTCGATTGAGCGTCGTGAATGGGAATCCAGTGGTGAGTGGACCTGCGTAGACGGCTGGAGCGAGCGCGATGAAGACTGAGAGTTTCTGGCCTAGAGACGGACACATTCCTAGGGATAAAGATATGAATGCTAGGCCGTTTCCTTGAGAGTGGCCTATGAATGCGATCTATGAGGGAAGAAGTAAGCGGGGTCGTCGATGCGATGAAAGCAGGAGAGTTGTGCTAGGAGTGGTTGTAGAAGAAGACATGCGGGTCTGGTATAGAGTATTCGAGCAGCGAGTGAGAGGGGACATATGTGGAGAGAGAGGTCGGACATGTGTGGAGAGAGAGAGAGGGAGATCGGACATGAGTAAGGATGCGACATGTGTAGAAAGAGAGGGTACATGTGTGGAGAGAGATGGGAAGAAGCAAGAAGGAACAAGCAAGAAGCAAGAACAAAGATAACTCGGACAAACCTTCTCATACCCAGTCTCCTTACAAACATGATCTACCAACGCCGGCAAATCGTACATGGCTAGTTCCCTAATGGTCCAATCTAAGAAGTCCATAAGCATCCCCGATATAAATAAATCGATTTCTAAATCCATACAGCCGCTGAAGAACTCCATTATACTCATACAACTCGACCCAACAAGAGGGGAGGCTTAAAGAGATCCCACTCACCCCAGAAACGAGGATCATTTCTCCCGAAATTACGATGTCCCATATCGAATACACCGCGAGTGTTACCTAGGTATACTTGATATCCGCCATGTTTGGCTAACCAGAATGCCAGACTGCGCTCTTCGGATGTCACGAATGAGCCGGAGGATTGGAAGAGGCCGTGAAGGACTAGGACGGGGAAACCGCCTGTTGTGTGTGGATTGATCGAGATGCGGTGATGGGGGTGTGTGACGAGGGGAGGAGGACAACGGATGAGAGGGGACGGAATTTTGATTGTGTGAGAGGAGGAGAATGGTGATGAGTGGAGGTGTTTTGATTGTACGAGAGGAGGAGAATGGTGATGAGTGGAGGTATTTTGATTGTATGAGAGGAGGAGGTAGAGTGTTAATGGATGGTCGGATGAGAAATGAACAGTAATGGCAATGTGTTGGGGTAGAACACGACGCAAGAAGGTTGGTCAGCTATGAAGTGCAGAAGATCCCAATACGCACCTCTTCCATCTGACTTTGGTCGAGCATCCGGATCAATGACCTTGTGTACCCTGCAGAGCCATCAGCTATGCTCTGTGGTCCACGTCGGACTGTCGACGTACTTGAGAAAGTACCCATCCTGAGTCTCTACTGTCTGATGCTGTATATCCATACCGATTTGCCTCGCATAATCCGTAGGATCTTTCGAGATTTTTTTCCCTTCCTTCCTCCAATACCTATCATCGTCCCATGGAAACCTCTTTGGTCTATCTGGCCAAACCCACTTGGGTAATCCCCTTGCTAGTTCGGCTGACAATGCCCAGCCTACCACGAATGCGAGAAAGACTGTTGATAGGAGGATGGATATGGTCTGATTGATGAACAAGTTTATCTTTGACACGATGGAAAGAGGCGATACGGGAAGTGGTGAATAGGTCGATAAAGATGGCGGTGGGAAAGTGGGTCTTAAAAGATGTTGAGTAGGCGTAGTTGCTCTGTCGATAAAGATCCTTCGAAGAACATTACGTGACGACGAAGATGCTGTGGCGGAAGATGAACGTCTTATACCTGGTCGTACGGGTGATGGAGATAGCAGTGGAGCTGTTTCTGCTGATTTTGGATGTAATAAGAGATGATCATCGTTATCAATTTCGTATTCTGGAGTTTTCACCTCTCCACCACGTACTGCTCTAGCTTGCGCAGGTGCAGTTATACCATTAGGCATACTCATCGCTGCTCGAGCAGGAGCGTCAAGTAATTGACTAGGCGGTGATCGTACGAGGCTTACACCATTTATTGGGTGTTGAGCTCCAGGTCGTAGATTGACTGAACTTGTCAAACCACGACGTGAAGAAGAGCCTGGCGATGTAGGTTCTTCAGATATTTCAGAAAGGTATTTCGATGGAATCAGCGATGGATCCGCAGATAGTGGTGCACCAGGTGAAGGTTCGAGTAATTTGGCTGGATTCGAAGACGAGGTAGACGGAGAAACGAATGAAGTTATCGGACTCAATAATGTACTAGACATTGATGAGGCTGACATCTGATCACACAGTAGGGGGTCAGCTTGGCTTGCTAGGAGTATACAGTATGTAAAATAAAACTAGCTGAAAAACTCACCCTGAATCCCAGGATTTAGGATACTCGTACACACACTACCTGTGACACAAAGATGTTTTAGAACCACCTCGGAGACTTTTATATCCACAAAGTCGTACGACTACGACGCGCCAGGGGGTTGAGATGGTAGAAAGATTACAACAGGACGAGTGGGATTGATCAAACGTCGAGAGTTGTTTGGTGGTTTTGTTGGGTCTTTGTTATCTATCCTTGTCAGTTGACTCCCGCGCTGGTGGGGCCGGTGAGAACAAAGTCGCGATGATTCCGGATTTAAAAAATCGTCATTTATCGTCTTTCCATTGATTCCTAAACGCTCCAGGCTTTGTCTCTGTTCCCGCCTGACAAAAGGTTCAAGTTCGATTGGTCGAGGTAGAAATACAACAACAACAACAAGACTTGTTTTTTATTAATCATCACACTCTAACTACTATTTTCAGAAGTTTCCTCTTTTTCCCTAGTGTTTTGCTGTGACGAGACCCTGTGGGATTATCAGGTACAGACCGAAGATAACCCTGATGCCATATCTCGCTCATCTACTCGACTACTCGTGGTTCATCTATAAGGATCATGCAGACAGTCGAGCCCAAGAATCTGATCACTGCATACGAGTAGTTTCCTTTGTTGGACTGTTACTCTCTGCACCATACTCGTATCAATCAAGATGACCAATAACGATATCAATCATCACATACAATGGGACTCGACAACCGACGAACCATTCTTACCTGTCCCTGGATTCCCAACACTACGACTCACGCCATACAGAGAGGGCGAGCAAGCAGATATGGTGAGTGGATAAGTCAATGAATAAATACTAGTCTGATAAAGGAAGCTGATCATAATTTAGGTCGAACTATGTAATCATCCTTTAGTAGGTCGATATTCATATCTCAGACCATATCCGTAAGTCTTCAATCCATTACAAGTACATTTCGTCCTAAACACTGTTATGTACGTTACTGAATAGTGTAATAGATATGATCTCAGTCACGCTCAATGGATGTACGATAATATCATCAACAAAAACTTGGTTCCTGCAGTATCCACACTACGATCTCTTCGTGAATCACCATTACAGCCAAATACACTTCCACCACTTGTGACTTATCCACTTTCCGTTTTACGTTATTCTCCTTCTTATGCCATCTCTACTACTTCCAATTCCAATTCCCAATCGACATCTACTCCTACTATCAATTCCCAATCAACCTCTATTTCTGCTCCCCAATCGACCTCGACATCCACTTCCAATCCCCAATCAGACTCCACTTCCATCGCCCCCTCATCGAAATCAGACCTATCTTCACTCGGGTTAAAAGACGGTGCCTTCATGGGCACCATCAATATATTCCCAGCCGAACGTGATCCGTCCTCAGATAAATCAATTCCAATCCCAAGACAAGATCAAGTCTGGATGGTAGCTTATGATATTTTTCCGATTCTACAAGGTAGAGGAATCGGTTCGGCTGTGTTGAAGGTTTTCTTGGAAGAGTGGTGCGAGTGGATGAATATACGTATTAGAGCTGTGAGTGTGTTTTTTTTTAAAAAAAAAATTACTGGAGAAGTCATTTCGAGGTATGAGTTGGGGAGTCATTTCGAAGTAGGAGTCGAGAAGGGGTATTAATGGGAATTTGGAAGTATAAGTTGGAAGGGGTATCAATGAGAGTTCGGAATCACGAATTGGGAAGGAGTATCTATGCTCGTTGGGCGTTCAAGTCGGGGCGATATGGGAGCTGGGGAAATAAGAGTTGAGGAGTCAATGATCGTTTGGAGATAGACTTGGGTAGTCCATGAGGAGTCAATAAGCTGATGGGAGATATCAAACCAGGAAGCTCAAAGAGACAATATACCTTCATCGAGAATACTTGCGAAAGCCGGATTCGTGCACAGTAAAGACATTGTAAAGACTTGGCCAGAGGAAAAAGGAGGTGGAGATCGGTTGGTCGGTGTGTGGGATTGGGCACCCACGCGTCAGTGAGGTGAGGTGGTGCACTCCAAGAGAGAGAGAGAGAGGAAATGGTCCAAGCGGAGGGAGAAGTGCGCTTCAGTAAAGGGACGGAGGCAAGCACGTCGGTGAAGCAAGAGAGAGAGAAAGAGAGAAAGAGAGAAAGAGAGAAAGGGAGAAAGGGAGAAAGGGAGAAAGAGGGAGAGAGAGAGTCTCGTCCAAGCGGAAGGAATAGAGGCGCTACAGTGAGGAGACCGAGGCATACACGTCGGTGAAGCCAGAGAACGAGACCCGTCTAACCGGAGGTAGAAAAGAGGTGGCTACTAGAGATGGTAGATGAAGGGTCAGGCTCAGTAGAGAAGACGATCACAATCTCGCTACGAAATGGATTGCCGCCACGCGAAAAAGATTTCCGCGCGTCTTCGCCACCACCGGTAAGAAACTATCATGTTGCCGGGAAGATTCGAACCCACCATAAAATCAACCATCCGTTCTCGAACCGAGTCTATCGGCTCTCATAGGTGATTCTATGGCCTGTTCTGGAGCAAAAAGAGAGTGCCTGGGGGCCAAAAGAATGCTCCCACTGAGATTCGAACTCAGGGCTAAGGATTACACGCGGACTAGCGCTCATAAGACGAATATGAGACCTTCGCTTTAACCAACTAAGCGATGGGGGCATCATACTCGCTAGGTGACTTATCGGCTACTTTCTTATATTCGAAATTCGGAGGCTATACCCATTTTTCCTTCTGTAGCGATTCACCTCTGTGCAGCCTCTTTATCTGACCTCTATACACCATATACGGGCTCACAGCCCTCAAGGGTATTGCTATAAGGGAAAATGTGAATGTAAGCATAGACATTAATGTTGTTTCGACGTGTATTGAAGAATTTTGAAGTGGAGGTTATCCGTTTTTAATACTTCCATCAAAACTCACTCTTTTCACGCTCTACTTTGATAAATAGCTGATTTTCACCCATGCCGCTGTTCGATAAAGTCACGAAGGGTGCCAAGCGAGCTGGTAAGGCGAATGCGAAGAAGAAAAACGGTCATTCAAGGTCTGAGCGAGTCGACAAGGAACCTAAAGCTTCTTCGAGCGGGAGTGGGTCTGACGACAGCCAAGAGAGCAGTGATGAGGCTGGGTCTAGTGAGGATGATGACAGTGAGGAAGATGAGGATGAGGAGATAGGACAGTTAGAGAGCGAGGATGGTGAGCTTGCCAGATATATGTCCGAGCTCAACTCTGGTCGATTCACTGATACTTGTGTAGATTCTTCCGACGATGATGATTCTTCAGATGACGAGTCAGATAAAGACGAGTCAAAGAGTCAGTACTCTTCTTTCAGACTTGCTTCCACTTGGCTGATGATCGTAGTTGGCATTAAGCGGAAACGCTCTGCATCAGCAGCATCATCGTCCTCTTCTGCAGGATCAGATGACCGTAAGTTGTCTCTTTTCCTCTAAAGCAAGTAAGTCAAGACTTCATGCTGATTTATTGGCCCTGTAGCACCTCCTAAATCCGTACATCAAGCGATAGAAGATCCTCTGTTCCCTTCTCCCTCGGTCCCAGGATCCATCGAATGTATTCTTTGCCCTGGGCGGATATTGAAGAATCAACATATGGCTGAATCTCACCTAGTTGCTAATGTGAGTCTTCATACTTTTCATACATACCATGTCCTGTTTCCTTCATTATTTCATAACCATCTATATCGGATTTAACTGTGGCCTCTTCCTCTTCCCATCTCCCTCTTGCCCCCTCCCCCCTCCTCACACATACACACATACACCTAGCCCCCTCCTCACACATACACGCATACACCTATACACCACCGTACCGCTTTCTTAAGACCCTCTCTATGCCTTCATTCACAAATATTCTATGCCTTGGTTTACTAAGCATCTATGCCTTCATTCGCTAATACTACCATTCTCATATAGTCTCATAAACGGTCAAAAAAGCGATACGCGACTTTTATCCAAGAAGATCCAGCGCGTGCAGAAGCTATTGGAGACGTACGTATCATTGCGCTTGCTATCCGCGAGGCTGTACAGAAGGAACGAACGCCGGGGGAATCTAAAGCCGATGTGAGTAGAAGTAGAAGTATATGTATTCTGTCCACCGCCCTCTATCTCCCCTCCCCTCCCCTCCCCTCCCCTCCCCTCCCCTCCCCTCCCCTCCCCTCCCCTCCCCTCCCCTCTTTTCCCTCTCTATCTCCCTCGCCTCCTTCCTTGCCCCCCTTGCTCTTTCATCAACTGTATCCTGTGTTTGTTGTTGTAGCTGAAAAAAATCAGAAACGAGCCGCCAAGAAAGCCCGTAAATCAGCACTCAAAGCCTCTCGACCTACTCAACCCCACCGACAATTCCCCGTCTCTAATCCAACTCCAGCTCCAGAACGAGTCAATGCCAATGGATGGATAGAGAAAAAACACCGTCAATCACCTCGAAATATTCGTAAAGCTGCACGAGCCGCTAAGATCGCAGAACTTGAAGCGCAGGGTATCGCACCGCCTATCGATAAGAAAGTCGTCAAAGTTGAAGAGAAGAAAATCAGGTCAGAGAGGAAGAAGGCGGAGAGAAAAAGTAGGAAGAGGGCAGCAGTGGCTAAGAAGTCTCAAGTGAAACGTGAGGTGAAACAGGCTAAATTGGCACGTAAAGAGGGTAAGACGGAGACGGATTGATCTGGACTGGGGAAGGAATGGGTAGGGGTCAGTTGGGTTGGTGTAGTGACATACATATCAGAATATGTTCATAGTCAGTCATGCTAGGGGGAGTCATTTCAGGTGGTACGACAAGATATGAAATGGAAGCAACATGGCAACGCATTGCATGAAATTACTCTACACGCAGCTCTCACCACACTCCTTACTCGTCACTCCTCATCCCTCTCAGCGTCGATTTAATATCCAACACTCTTGAGGTAATCAGCAAGTCCAGTGACGACGATGTTGGCATCTCCCGCTTGAGCTGGAGCTTCGTACTGATTTGATCGCTTGATCAGTATGACTGCTTCCATTCTGAGACAGGGAAGAGAGACAGATAGAAGGGGAGGGGGAGGGGGAAGAAGTAAAGAAGAAAGGGCGGAGGGAAGAAGAAAGGGTGGAGGGAAGGAGGAAGGGAAGGAGGGAAGGGGGGAAGAGAAGAAGGGAGGGGGAGAAGGCGAAAAGGGTGAGAGGGGGGAAGGCAAAAGAGGGGATTGGACATACCTCGCCAACTAGGATAGCTTGCTTAGTGGGCACGATGAACACGCCTCGTTCCTGTGCGACATCAGATTTTGCTATAGGAAACATAGGAAACCAGGGCCGAGGTACATGTGTAGTAGCTATTGGACGGCAGAAGAAAGGGTACATACGCCTTTACGCCCAATGGCCTCGTCAGGCTCAGCTTTGATGGTCATGAATTTGAATCCGGCGAGGGTGATTCCGTTTGCTATCAAGCGTGAATAAGACGAAGTATGGGATGAGAAGAGACGAGGGGATAGCGTCAAGAGGTCGAGGGGATAGCGTCAAGAGGTCGAGGGGATAGCGTCAAGAGGTCGAGGGGATAGCGTCAAGAGGTCGAGGGAATAGCGTCAAGAGGTCGAGGGAACAGAGTGAAGCGAGACAAGGGAAGCGATGGTATCCAAGGCAGGGAATAGGGCAAGAAGCGAGAAGCAAGATAAGTAGGAGGTACGTTCGTTCGACAATTGAGGTGAGAGTGGATGGGTGAGAATGATTATTGACAAGTAGTACAGATACAAAGAAAGAACCATATATCAGCATATAGCATAATAAAGCCAAACAGGGCAAAGAGGATGAAGTAAAGAACTAGTAAAGGAATAGTAAAGTGATGTGGAACTCACCTCGCACTTCATCAGGTTTAGTGAATAGGGTCTTTACAATAACGTCCTGTTCTTTCTGTGCGAGCTATAGGGTGATACCATATAATCAGCTTTACACGTTCCTTCTTTCCTCATCCATTTCAACTCCAAACTCATTCATCTATGTCTAGTCCCCCCACAGAGTACGGTATCGTGAAAATATAGAACTCACAGTGTATCCTTTGGAAACGGCCCAGATACCACCTTGTTTCCCCAAGATGGCTGCTCGGGAGATTTTGCCAGTTGCCAAGAGCTGGTCGTCGACGTATGCTGTTTTTGTGAGGGTTTGGGGTTGTTAGTGTGAGAGGGTAGGAGGGTAGGAGGGTATGAGGGTGTGAGGGTATGAGTGTGTGAGGGTATGAGTGTGAGAGGGTATGATGATTTCGAGTAAGAGGATTTGAGGGGTGAGGGTTATGAGTGTGAGTGTGAGTGTGAGGGTGTGAGTGTATGAGAGGTGAGCATATGAGGATTTGTGTTTCGAGAAAAGAACAAAACACCAGTCGAAGCGTAGTATATATCAAAGCAGGTGAGCGAGCCGCAGACAAGACGAGCACAGAGTGGAGGAATCAATTGTAGAAGAGCAGAGTACGAGCGAAGTAGAAGTGTCGACAAGTAGTTTGTAGATTGTAGAAATTTCCAGAAGTAGAGTACAGAAGAGTAGAGGAGCAAGAAAGTGGATTCGGTGTATAGGTAGAGGTAGAGGTGGAGGTATAGGAAGGAAGGGAATGAGCCAAGCAAGACAAGGACAAGGTTAAGAGTAATGACCATCCGTCAGCTTGATTATTCGAATAGAGAGTAAAATATCTTTCAAAAGAGCTCTCAACTTGACTTACCTTGCCAAGACATAATTTCAGTTGATCTTATCCACTATCACAAGAGACAAGTAACGATTTGGAAAGATCAATAAATCGGATGTTGGAACGAATCAAAGTGGGTGACTACGCAAATGCCTCTCTCTCTCTCCCCCGGCCGGGGGAATTTTGATTCCGATCATCTTCTACATGCATAATGCTATCTTTTCGCTTTTCTATGCGTGGACTCTTGGATGTAGTTTAATCTAACCAGGTTGGACAAGTACTTGCAACACCGGCTTGACTCGCTTTGTCGGACAAGCAGTGGACAAGAAGAACGCATCTGCATCTGCATCTGCACCATACATCACCCGCTCTATGATGGCTCCCATCATCTTTATCTCCATTATCCACTTTATCTCCTCACACAACCTCTCACACAACCTCTCACACAACCTCTCACAAAACCTCTCACAAAACCTCTCACACAACGTCTTACACAACCTGTGACTTTGTCCAACGACTAAAGACAGCTTCGAGTCTACTCGTACACTGCCTTGAGGATAAAGTTGATGACTATCGCAGCTGATCGATCACATGAGTACTGAACGACGAGGACTAGAGAAAACACGTACATAATAACATGATACAGAGGACCGTCTGGATTGGAGATCAACTGTCAGCGAGACACAACGAAGAATGATCGTAAGGGCGAGACACAACAAATACCCAACATAAGGGCAGAAAATAAAAGACGTACCGGTCCTAGACGGTCATCGTACGGTGCACCGGTACGTAGTCGGATCGATCGTGCTCGACGATGATATACTGTCAATGCGTAGAGCATGACACCGACAGCTAGTGATATCAGCGCATGGAATCGAGATTATCGGCGCGGCGAAAGCTTCGGGCCAAGAGAGATGGTCTCTTGTGTATATTATCAAAGAGATGGTCTCTTGTGTGTATTAAGCAAGAGATGGTAGTTTGTGTATATCAAGGAAGAGATGGTAGTTTGTGTTTATCAA